ATGTCTGTGGCAAGGATGGGACCAGATATTCGGGACAGAGGTGCCAACTAAAATAGAGAAAAACACTCAGGATCACGGCAATGCCACTCTTGCCCCATCAGTATCCCACAGCACAATGGAGAGACTTCTCTGAGCCTTTGGCATCCCAAGTTTCTGTTGGGGCTTCACCACACCTGCCCTGCTGGCTGGTCTGTAGTCTCCTACCCCTTTGCTGGAGGAACTGGTACCACGTGGCTCACTTCCCCCGTAATGAATCATACCACAGAACTGTTCTGTGGCCACAGCACGGGGCAAATGAGGAGACTGCCACTAGACATCATCCCAAGTGCCCAGAGGTCACTCCAGAAGGGCAGCCCTGGCTGAGCCCTAGCTAGCCCAGGTTGTCCTCAAAGTCATGGTGATTCTCTTTCTTCAGTCTCTTGAGAGCTGAGATTTATAAAGCCTGTAAGGCCTTTGACCTTGAGATTTAGTTTTGTGTTATGAGATATGGACAGGATGACTCATACTGAGTGGATCTCGGGCTTGACTGAAGTGACGAACAGGAGAGCACACTCTAGAATCTTCAGCATCTGCCATTCCCATGGAATGCCAGCTATGACAAGTGCAGTAGTATGTGGCAGGCATCAGCAGTGGGGACTCTAGGAATCCTGGAGGAAACAGCCTGCACCATTGTGTTGTGTCTACTTAAGTTACTTCTTAGAACACAGCTCCCTTCCCGGCATCTCAGCCAAGCTGTCTGACCGAGTGGCACATGTAATCTCTACTTGGCATAGACGCTAAACTCATCTCAGAGTCACTTAGTGCCCTGTAAACCAAATGTGGTAGCTCACACCTGTAAGTAATCTCAGCATCTAGGAGGCTGGGCCAGGAGGATTTCCAGGAGTTCAAGACCAACCTCACTACACAGTGAGTTCCTGTCCAGTCAGGCTACAGCATGAGAGTTTGCTTCAAACACACACAGAGAGAGAGAGAGAGAGAGAGAGAGAGAGAGAGAGAGAGAGAGAGAGAGAGAGGCAACACTGAAAAAACTCTCACAGTGGCATGAAGAAATAATCCGTTAGATGTTATCTGTGCCCAAGAAGTGGCACCAAAGTGTGTAACATGTAGAAAGGATTTGAATTCAAAAAGAATTGATGACTGAAAAGGAGATGAAGAAATAATTGCAGGGGCTGGAGACAGCTCAGTGATTAAGAGCACAGCCTACTCTTCCATAACGCTGGGGTTCAATTCCCAGCACCTGCAGGGCAGCTCGTAACTACCTGTAACTCTAGTTTCAGGTCTTCTGGTCTCCATGGGCACCAGGAATTTCCGTGGTGTCCAGACATGCATACAGGCAAAATACCCCAAGACATTAAAAGAATAAACAAGCAAAATACACCAGAAAACTAGAGAAAAATTGTGATGTGTCGGGGGAGGACAAGAAATATATAGGGGTGTAGTGGCATATGCCTTAAATCCCAGGCAGGATCTATGTGAGTTTGAAGCCAGCCTGAACTACACCATGAGTTCTAGGCCATCCAGTGCTGCATGAACCCTCATGTGGGGACAAGGAGTACACAACTAATTAAGATTTTAAAAACTAAACAAGTAAACAAATGCACACAATTAAAAAGAACCATTTAGGGGGGCAATGGGAAATACAATTCTGAGCGACTAGAATTTGATTCCACACCATCCCAGGCAATCACTGTGCGGACGTGGGAGGGAAGTGCTACCATGTCTTTCCCAAGTGAGGAACCAGGCCCAGGAAAGGCAAGAAAAGTCCAAACCACACAGAGGCAAGATTTCAGAACCAGAGATGTCTCGTGTTGGAAACTGTGCCCTAGCATCCCTGAGAACTGAGTCATTGGGCTGAACAGGGTGAACAGGCAGAGGAAGGGATGCGTTTCAGAGCTCTCCATTGTGGATTCTGATCTCGAATGGCCCCACACCTGTGAGCACAGCGCATCATCCACCTGGTGACTCACACTTTTCTGCCCCGTGCACAGCGCACACTGAGTCCTCCCTAGCACTATGTAGGGATGAGCATGCTGGACCACATACCTAGGCATCAAGCTGATCCCAAGACTTACAGGCTGTGTAAAGTCAGGTGCATCCTCAACTGCTCTGTAATCCCATCTGTCCATTTGCGCAGAAGGAAACTAGAAACGTCTAGCTCCCATGGCTACTTAAAAATGAATTAAAGCTCCAGAATAGTCTCTGACACACACTGAGCATTCAATGCACATTAGCTGTTCTAAGAACAGAAAGACAAATCCGTGTTTCCTCACTTATATGTGGAAGCAAGAAGTTACCAGAGCCTGGGAATGATGTAGGGAGGGAGAGGTTGGCAGTACAGAGTGTCTACACTGTCTGTGTAGATTGGACCAAAATGCACAGTTAATGGACAAACTTCATCAGCGTGTAAACAGTCAAGTCAGGAAATTTAAGACAATGCCAATCAGAAAAATAATTAAAAGTCTAAGATTTTTTATCTACTGCTGGGGTGTGGAGTCGAAGGTCTTTTTCATACAAAGGAAGTGTGCAGAACTTATAGTTGAGTCTCTGCATATTCATGTAGAAAAGCACCTGAGTATGCGCATGGTCTTCAGCACACAGTAACACATTTCTGAGCATGCCCAGTTTAGGGTCAGAGCGCAAGAAGAAAAAATGAAGGACACAACTTTTGTTATCCTTTAGCTTAAACTCAAGGAATACATGCTTACAAGTTCAAGATGGCAGACAGAAACATTTGGGTGTGCTCTGCTTGCCTTCTAACAATGGCAGACAGCAAGGCCACTGGGTTTGCCCTGTTGTGGAGTTAAAGGTGTATTAATACAAGACTTTTCCCCTAAAAGTATCTTTATAACAAGTAAATTGTGCATAGAAGCCCAAGAAAGAATGCACTCTAGACTTCATGGCTGTAAGGAAGGAGACTCAGAACACATGAAAAGAACCATTTTCTGTGGGGATCAGGAGAGGCCTCTCACGGGGGATTTCCTACCCAGGGCTTCAGTACTTGGCTACCTTCCCAGGGAAAGGGGGTGTTGGCTTTGGGGGTCCTACACACTGTGTTACCATAGTTCAGAGGCAAATGGTGCCCACTGCCTGCTCTGGACTGCAGGCTGCCTGAGCCTTGTTCAGCTGCGGACAAATACACTCTTTCCTTGAACCGTACATGTCAGAGGCCTTTGAGAGAAAGAGATGCTGGAGTTGGGGGCCAATGGAGAAGAGAAGGCATGGAAGCTGTGAGCAGTCCCTGAGTGATGGGAGCTGGAGCAGGGAGGGCTGTTCAGAGGAGTGAGCCCTTAGCATGGGATGGAGTGTGTAGGTGATTGCTGGCCCGCTCAAGGCCAAGGCTACAGGGACAGGGCTCCTTATAGTGCAGTGTGATCGACAGCGAGACCAGAGAGAATAAGGCCAGAGATCAAGCACCAAGAGGAAAGCACCCCTACCCCCTTCTTTTCCCAAACCCAGCAAACATGAATCTTGCATTATTGAAAAATCTTATCTCAAGAATAGCAAGTAGTTTCTGTCAGGATCTGCCAGGATTTCTGAGGAGCCTGAGAGAAACCTGTTTCATTTCCATGAGAGATAAGGAGTAGATGCGAGTCCTCACACAGCTGTGCAGTCACGATGAAGATAGCATCACTGGAGGTGTTGTGCTCTAGATAACATCTGAAGGTGTTGTGCTCTAGAGACCATCACTGGAGGTGTTGTGCTCTAGATACCATCTGCATTTTATCCCTCCCAAGTCCTCCTTGCCTCCAGACCAACCCCCTTCCCTCCCTTCTCTTTACTTCAGCATGCCTCTGTGTGTGGGTTGTCTCTCTTATTCTCACTTGCCCAAATCTTGTTTTGTTTTTTTCTACACCTCATGCCCTCCTGTTTACAGGAAGGCACTGGATAAGGCAGCAGGCAGGCAGACATGGAGTAGTAACCAAGAGCTTACCTCTGATCCCCAAGCACAAGGCAGAGGGAGGTAACTGGGAAACTGGGGATAGCACGGGCTTTGGAAATCTCAAGTCCCATCTCCTGTGGCACGCCTTCTTCCACAAGGATACCTCCTAATCCTCCCAGCTGGGACCACATATTCAAATATTTGAGCCTCTGGGGTCACTCTAATTTAAACCATTACTTCAAGTGTGTCATGGTGCAGATTCAAAATGCTGCCCTCAGACTCATGCATTCAAATCGTGGTTCCCAAGCATGTTATCCAATCCTAAAATGTGACTGAATGATAATGGGTCTAACCTAAGCAAAGGATTAATCCACTGATTGATTAAAAAAAAAACACACATGAATACACTGTTGGAAGACATTGAACTGTGGGAGGTAGGTTGTAAAGGGAGGAACTAGGTTGCCAGGGATCCATGGCTTTGGGAGCATATCTTGTCCCCTGGCCCGGATGTTCCTCTTTTCTGCTTCTCAGTTGTCCAGATCGAAGCAACTCTCTCCGTACATCCTCTCTACTTGATATTCACCGCATTTCTGTCCCCAAACAAATGGAGCCAGCTGCCCATAGAGTGAAGACCCTGACACCGGGAACAAAAGTCAGTCTTTCCTCCCATTGGCTTGTCCCTCTGGAGTGTCTTCACAGCAACAATAAACTAACACATAGGGAAAGGTGGAATGTTCTTGGTTTCTGAGTCGGAGGCTTGAGTGACTTTTTATTATGACATTTATTACAATTTTTACAATAATTTGAGCTCATGGGCTAGGGAAATGATTATATTTGGTCTATTCATCATTCATGCTGACCGAGGAGGAATCAGTGCTCTATATTGAACATAAATATGCTGTTTGAGAACATGAACAAGAAAAAGGCTATGTAGTTGAAGGAAACAGTTCTTCACTGTGTGAGTATGCGCATGCATGCGTGTGTTTGGTCAGCAAGGGCACTGGTCATCAGAAAAGATTATATCTGTATGAGCCAGGGTTTGACATGAAGGTTTCTACTTACTTGTGTTTAACCAGGATATGACAACTATTTCATGGTGATATTTGAATACTCCAGAGGCTAAGAAGCTTGTTCTGTTTTATTGAAATCCAAAGAAACTTTCCAGGAAGTGATCATGATTTTAATTTTGTTTACAACCAAATAGCAAAATGCACAAACCTCAGAAGACCTGTTGGCCTCACAATAAGCAGGATTAACATGTAATCAAAACGCTTCATTGTTGCAAAGCTTTAGAAGGCTGACCTTGGGGCTGTTACACAGCCGTGTTTGCCTGGTTTAAGTGAAAGCCTTCATTACTGATTCTACGCATTTCTCATCCTCCAAAGGCTTCCTCTGGCTGCCAGGCTGAAGAAACTTCTTCACTGTAGGGAGGTTGCTGACTCTGGTTCTCAGTGCCTGCAACAAACAAAGCAGAGCCTCAGAGAGCAGCTGAAAAGAAAGCTACTATTACATGTGCCGTCCTGCACCCCTGCCAGTCCAAAGACCAACTCATCCCCTCCATCAGCAGCAGGTGGAGGTCGGAGGCAGATACTCAGGATGAAGTTGAGAGGGAAAAATGGAACTTTCCCCCATGTATCTTAAAGACTCATTCTGCTCCCAGCATCCTCATCTTTGGACTTTAACCCTGTAGACTCATCCTTCTCTACAATTTAAGGACGAACAGTTTATTTCCCAGATGTTGTTGATACCTAGACAGACCCAAATAGATAAAACGAAGATCTGGGTCAATAGGTTCCGAAACAGTGGTAACAAATAGAACGGAATACTTGGGTCCAGTCACAACCAGCTGTCACACTGAGGAAGGGAAGTGGGAATTGCCGGGGGGCTGGCAGGAGAGCCCACTGGTTACAGCCCTTGCCTGGTGGATGCAAGGGTTAATCACTAGCGCCACATAAAACAAAGTCAAATAAAGTCAGTAAGGGGGCTGCAGGGATGCTCAGTGGGCAAAGTGCCTGCTATGCAAGCATAAGGATGTGAGTTTGGATGCCCAGAACCCACCTAACGGCAAGAACAATAGTATGTGTCTTTGCCCCAGGGCTGTGGTGCAGAGGGTGGAGAAGACAGCTCTGAAATTCATTGATCAGTCAGCCTAGCTGAACAGATGAGCTCCTGGCTCAGTGACTGACTCCTCAAAAGATTGTCAGAGCCCCTTCTGGCAGCAATCAGCAAGGGGTACCTGGGAGGGGGTGCAAGGTTACAGGAATGGCAGATTAAGAGAAATAAAGATAGAAACATAGGATAGACCCGGAGAATTGAAGATAAATACCAAACAGCACCAAGATTATTTCTCAGTCAGCATTACTAGTAACAGGCAAAGGGCAGAACAAAGGGCAGTCCCGTCAGCTACCCACCTCCCTGCACTGTCCTTGGGAGGAAGCTCAAGCAGGTGCATTATCTCATTCAGCTAAGTACATTCTAATCTCTAAGGAGGAGTGCCTCCAACTGGCATACCCAGCCCAAATCTTAATAGATAATGTGTTCTTTTATCTGGGCAAAAAAGCCCTTTCTTATGCGATTAATCAGAACTTTCTCACAGCCCTGAAGGATACAGGCAGAGTGAGCCAGCCTGAACTCAAATGACTTCTTTAAGTCAGTAATGACTCAAACTAGAAGCTGGGTCCCACATGGGCTCCCACAAAAGACATGATGGAGAGTGTTCCAAGAAGGCATCCTATGTATACCCCTGTCTTCCATATGCATAAGAACGTTCATACACACCAGATGAACATATGCATACAACTCATGCGTAGACACACACAGGCACGCGTGCGCACAGACACACACACACATGCGTGCGCACATCAGAGAGAGGGGAAGTTTTTGGGTTGTGGAAATATGTCAGTGAGGGAGGCCATTGTAGAGATAAATGCAAGGTTTCATAACATAGACGTTTGAAAAGACCTCCCCAGATAGGTTCAGTGTGGAAGGACAAGGCTACAGCAGTGAAAGACAGAGAATCTTATTGAAATCAGGGTCGAAACCAAGCTGGAATAGGTTATGGGGGGAGACCGCGAAGCCTTAAGCTCTTTCCATCATACAAAACAAAGTGTACTTCCGGAGATAGCAGGTGTCTCAGGCCTAGGGTCTAAAATCTCATTTAGTAGGTATAACCAGGGGCAAGGAGTAACGATGAAGGCGAGAAGAAACTAGAAGTTGGGTCAAACTATCGTATCCCATGAGGTAAGGTCTGGGCTGCCCCTCAGAGTGTTTGAAATAGAGAACCTTCAGCAGAGGGAAGTTGGCCAAGGCACTGGGGTCCAGCTCTTCCACATGGTAGAGAAGTTTAACCAGGTAAACATCCGCCCTGCTCAGCTTGTTGCCAACGAGATAATCTTGTCCATGGCTCTTTAACACCTGTGGGATTCAAGATGTTAGTTAGATCTTGAAGACTAACAGTCATCAGAATGGGGCCTCGATGGCTTCTTCTGAGCTTCTCAAATCAAATTCCCTTCTCCGGCCTTTTCATGTGTGTACGGAACCCCACACTTTCCTGTCAGTTCTGACTCACGAACAAATTCAAGAAGCAGAGCTTCATGCATTATTTTACCATCTGTCCATCACTGATTTTCATACATGTTTGAAACTTTCAGTTCTAGCCTCTCTCTTTCTTCCTGCCTCCCTATTAAACGGGTGAAGCTCTGACATTTGAGGGTGTCACCTAACTGTACTCTGCAGTTTCTTAGTGGGAAGTGGTGTCACGTGTGTGAATACGCCCTTCACACCTGAGTCAATTGCTTCAGTGACTACATTCCTTCTTGTTCTGCTCTCCCTTATATCTACGGCATCAAGAGTAAGCTTGATCCTTTTCTCCTCTGCAACACTAGCTCAGGTTCTTTATCCTAGGCATCCTCCTTCTGCAGTGCTGGAGCAACAAAGAGTTCACTGCGTGTGTGTCTCCAATTAATTTGAGAATGCTAGGGGAAAAAATACCATTGTGGAAAGAAGAGTGTGTGGCTGGGGGAGGGGAGAAATGAACTCACACAACAAAACCAGAACCACAGGATGCTGAATTCAGCATCATGTAGATGATACCCATGTATTCACGTTGTTCTTTAATCTAACTAACTAGTTTTCTTTCCTTCCTTCCTTCCTTCCTTCCTTCTTTCCTCTTTTCCCATTTTGAAGACAGGGTTTGCTGTAGCCCAGGCTGGCCTCAAACTCACTGTGTACTTAACCTAGTCTTGAACTGATCCTCCATCTTCTACATCTTGAGCTTGGCTTACATGCTTTCATCACCATGCCTATTCTACCTTTGTATATGAATGAAAGTCTTTATAAAAATTATTTGAGTAATATGCAATATTTCTTAAAATAATCCTTCAATGTTAAAGTCATGAAGAAATAAAGAATAAAAAGTCCACCATAGCACTACCAATGAAAAATAATGTAATTAAATACATATAATATAATGTATACATATAGAAATCTGAATGACTTCTTGTTAAAAGAACCAAATGATATTGTAATTTACATTTCTTACTGATATTCAAAAGAATCTTTGTTTTCACAGTATAGAGGACAAGCTGTAATGAACAGAGAACATCTCTTCACAGGACAAATTCTAATCTGTCAGATCCCAAGGGCCAAGAAGGAGAATCTTAGGAATTGGACATCTATATTATGAGCTGTGCCCTGGATCCGATAAACATCAATGAATTCAGATTTGTTGAATGAAGGAAGGAAGAATAATCTATTGCTAAGTAAGTTTTTACAAAACAAATGAGGACAATATGAGCTATTTGCTGAAATACCTCAGCATTGCTGAAACCTGCAGAATAAAGGAGAAATGCTGTGGGCAGTGAGGTAGAGGTGAATGGCCTTCCGAAGCCAAATGCTTCTTCCTCTGTCTGCAAGGCTCCTGCCACACTGACATAGATATTCCTTCTTGTTCGGTTTCACCTGACATAGTGTGTTTATAAAACATGGCTTCTTCATCTGTAACTGGAACTCCAAGTAGGGTGGTGGCACACATACAACAAACTCACGTACACATGGATATGAAAATAGAACTTAATTCTCATATTCTTGTACAACTTTCTCTTAAAAATCCGAGAGATGTGTTCCTAATTCTGGCAATCAGTTTTTCTTCACAACTCCTCACTGTCTCTTCCCTTCTGTGGCTCTGTCAAGATTGTGTAGCCTCTATGCATCCATCCTGAAGCAGTACGATACTCTCCTAATGGGATCCTGTTTCAGGTCCCCCTATACTTGGGGTAGAAGAATAGTTTCTGATGTGTTACTCTCATTTTGATGCTCCTGAGTCAAAAGATTGCAAAGTTCTGTTCAATCAGGTCCAGACTCTAGCGTGGTTCAGATGCTTACATAGTCCAAGTTCTAAATGTGACTGTGAAATCTGTTAGAAAAATTCTATGGTGAGTCACAGCAAAATAGAATTTTGTGGGAACATGAAGCCTGCTATTTGCTCTAACTATGTCAATAGCTCTTTATATTCCACCTTTACACAATGCCTGGAGTGCTTGGGTGCTGCATTAACAACAATGAAGTGCATTGTGGGAGTGAAGACCAACAACCCAAGGACACCCAGACCCTTTTCCTCTTGCCTCCTTTGGGACTGCCGATCTGTTTCTCCCTAAAATCAAGATGGTAAGAACTCTAGCCCACAGAATGATGCTGTTAGTAAATAGGACGGCTGACAGGGGAATAGATCCTCAAGGTTAAGAGTTCATGAATGGCATTCCTTCTCCTAACAAGGAAGGCATCGGAGAGCTCACACCCCCACCTGCCGTTGAACACGCAGACAGAAAGCAGGCATTTTTTGCTGCAGCTATGTTATCTGCTCAGATGTCCCCTGAGGATGAATAGACTCTCTGAATGCTCTAAAAGTCAAGCAACTTGCACTCACCTTCTCATAGGCAGGGAAGTAACGGTTCCTTGCCTTGTCCTTAATCTTGGCAAGGTTTCCCTCTTTCTCCTCTTTGGGAAGGAAAGGTTGATAGAGAACGAGTTCATCCAGATCCATCAGACCTTCAGTATACATATCAATGCTGAAAAACAGACATGTGTTCTGCCACATCCCTCTTGCCTCAGATCTTATACTTGAAAAACAAAAAAGGCAGTGGTAAAATAGCTCTCCTTTAATGGGAATATGGAGCCCATAATAATAGATTTTTATTGCTGTTTATCAATTTTTTTAGAACCTTTTTGGAGACAGGATCCCTTTATGCAGCTTGACTGGCCTGTAGACTATGTAGACAGACTGGCCTCAAACACACAGAATTCTCCTGCCTTTGTCACTGAGTGCTGAGATAAAGGCAAACGCCACTACCTCCAGTAACATTCCCATAAATGAATGCAGACAGATTGTAAAAATATATACAGCTTTAATGGTGAAATAGACTTACAGAACCACCATTTTTGCGGAGACCAGGAAAGAAGAAGCAACAGCTGGGAGCCACTCGCCAGATTTATAGGTAAGCATTAGCCCCAAGCAAACACGCCCCCTAAGGGGTGGGACTTATCCCTACACATTCCATTTTGAATGACCCGAAGGACTAGTAAGCAATGTTCTTCTTGTCATCGATTCTTCTGTTAAAATTTGACTCATTTTCTACTTTTTGAACATTGCACTTCTTGAACAAAAATAACACATCTATGAACAATCTCTCCAAAGGATGTGTTTTTATTGCTCTTGTGTGTTTACCTGGTAATGAAACTCTGGGATTATTGGTGACCTGATGCTTCACTTTTTGTGAAAATCCCACCGTTCCACAGAAGATTTGGTATAAATGGTGTGATTCTAACACAGGAGAGAGGAGCCCTCTCCATCAGTCTTGACAGCTCTGAACAGCCTTCCCAACAAAAGCTTCATGCAACCCTGGTGTCCCTGTGCCTGACTCTATGGGCCACAATCAGCCTGACTGTATATAGATTCACATGGTAACCTAGGGCCATTATTGTAATTATCACGACTGGAATATCAGCCCTTTGGAACCTTCTCTTTACTGCTAGTCAAAGATATAGCATGACAGAAATTGTGTTTCAACTCGAACACCAGAAAAGTAAAGCAGTCAAATCACTAGGAAGTCTTACCTCTACCAAGGCTAGGCGACTGAAAACTAAGCTGCCTAAGCCTCTCTCTACTCACAGTTTTTTATTACCTCTCATACTAGGATTAAAGGTGTAAGCCACCGCCACCTGGATTTGTTTCTGTGTAGTCCAGGGTGGCCTTAAACGCACAGAGATTCATCTGCCTCTGTCTCCCAAATCCTGTGACTAAAGGTGTGCGTCACCATTACCTGACCTCTGGTAGCTTTAGCGTTGCCTCTGGTCTTCAGGCAAGATTTATTTATTAACACACAAATACTACTCCACTACACATAGAGTTTTTCTTTGTCTAAAGCTATTGGCTAGAATGTTGCTTCTGAAGACTAAACAAAGGGACTCCACCATCTCCTATTCCATATGACACACACAACCCCTCATATTCTTCTCTCATCTTCCCTCCTATTCTTCCCTCAATTCCATAGCGTTCTTCTTAACTGAAGTCAGTGTATGCATGCCCAAACACCCAGGCATTGTGTCATGAGTCCTTTGCCATGGTTCTGTTCATTCAAGATAGAATATAAATATTTCCCAGAGTAAATTCATCATACATAGCTCTCTCCTTCATGTCCTTCCCATAGAGGTTGTATTTGGTGGCGATGTAGTTGAGAATGGCTCTGCACTGCACCAGCTTCATCCCATCAATCTCTACCATGGGCACTTGTTGGAACATCAAACTCCCATCTATCAGATGAATCAAAGAGAAAAAA